AGGTCTCATGTTTCATTTATTGGATCTGCTTTAGCATGTTCGCCTACTTGCTCTCAGGCGATGCCGTGCTGCATAAATTATGCAGGGTACTTTTCGTTTCTGACATCAGGCGTGAGCGGCTGATATGGGACTGCGCACGGCAACTTAGCACATAGTCTTCAAGGCATCAATGTCACTCAGCCAGCTCTGCTGATTGAGACTTCGGAATGAGTCGCATGCAGAACGTTACAGCTCTGTGGAGTAAAACAGAGCAGGAAATTGCAGTTAAATCCCTGGCACGGATGCAAAAGATAATAAAATGTAGCTTTTTTAAATTAGTGTTCATGACACTTACTTTGCTAATGGTTTGTAGAGACCATGAAAAGCAATAGTAACCAGACTTTCTCTAATCCTCCTCAAATTGACCTTTAATGTTTGATATGGATTTTACTCACTATTAATGCAGCTCAATGTATGCACCAGCCATCACTGAATAGTCAAAGCAGGGATGACGCTTACTAGAAGGCAACAGTGTTGATTGTACCGAGATCCATACTTGTTGAACTACAGTCTGGTGATGTTGCTGCGACCTGCCCGCTCCTCTGCTTCTCAGTCTTCTCACACCAGCAGCTTGTGAAATAAAGAACAAAATCAATGTGCAAGGCAAGGTCTACTCCAGTCAGTCTTTTCAGATGCAGCCGAAAGGGTAGAAATATTGGTGTAGACAACTGAAACCAACTTGTAATGCTCCTTTCTATCAGTGGTGAGTGCACCCACTGACTCAGATATCTGTAGAGTATGTTTATGTTTAAATATTTCTCTGTAACCCTGCCAGGCCTATGAAGCTACAGAGAAAAGAAAATGATTCTAACAATGATCCACACTGTGGGAGAGAAACTAAACAAACCAGGAGAATCAACTTTTCGCTTCAGTTCAGTTGAGCAGATGAGCATTGATTATGGCAAATGTGGCTCTTTGTTTGCCCACAGAGTGACGGCATAAATATCAAAGATACCAACTAAACTACCTGAGAAAACTAGACCTCCGTCTTTTTCTCTGGCTCATCCACAGATGTTAGCTGTCGTCACAAGACCCCGATCACGTCTGATATTAACATATGTCCTGAGTGATCCAAACAACTCACCAGTGTAAAGTACAAGTCTGAGTGCAAGCATCCATTTTGTTGCTTTCAGAATGGATGTACTCATCCCAGTACAGACTCTCTGTGGACAGACAGAGGGAGAGAATGATGAGATGACTTGCATGTTGGTGTAAAATGGTGATGTATAAGAGTTTGGGTTTAGATCAATGTTCTTAAGTTGTCAATCTGAATTATTTATCTATGGTCTAAGATTAAAACCTTTTTCACATCAGAGGAGTCACAATATGTCACCCACTTAGTTTTTAGATTTGGCTGTTTATGGAAAACAGAACCCGTAGGTGACTTCCTCTTACAGAGGCAGGTTACATAAAAACCACTGTGTATCAAGACAACATTATGCATGCCCTCTTCATGAGCTTTAATCTCATAATCAAGGAAACCACCGGCAGTCGTCTGAAGCAGAGACAAAATGTGCCTTCAGTGGAGCTCAGCACCCAATTCTCCTCCTCAGCAGATCAGGTTCCCAGTCTGCTTTGTCTCCTCCATCTCTGTAATGTGAAGAAAGAGGAGGTGAAAAAAGCGACAGGGCTTTGTTCTCGCATTGAAAGCCCACAGTTTCTCTCAGAATCACTGACACAGTCTGGCATTCGTACTGCTGATGAAGCTCTTCTCTGGCTACTAAAACACATCTGCAACCAGTCACAGTCACATTATATATTCACTTTGCCCATCACCTGTCTAATCAGACCTGAGTGTCCCAAATGTGAATAAAAGAGAAACCAGGTGAGACAACTTGCCTTGCTTTATATAATTAAGATACAAATCCATCTTCAAGAATAAGTCTGTTGATATTCTAATGTGTTTTGCTCTGAGCTTCAGCACATTCAATTTGAATTAAAATAATATCTATAATAATAATGGATACTACATTAAAGTGCCAAGTCTCAGCTTTGATTTGAGTAGATGTACATTAACATAGAAGAGACATTTCAGAGATTTAGCCCTTTGAACAGATAGTGCCAAACTTTTATGGATTTTAAAACTAATTGGATACTTGGCTGCTAAATATTTCTTGGGCAGCATTGTGTCGTTTAAATGTTGGTTCATACCATAAAGACGGACGATGCATCTTTACTTCCTCCCACTACCCAGAAATAAACAAAATACCCTTGATACAAACGCAGCCATCTTGCTTTGAAGGCCTCATTTTTTCATTAGTGAGAAAAATTTATTTGACATGTACTTTGACTTAGTTTGGTCCATGTCCCATCCACTTACATGGAGGAGCCATGATTTATGACCCATACAGTCTATTGTCCATGCACAATAAAAGCTCACTCGTGGTTCAGAGTTGACTGAAAGTTGCCTGTCGAAATGTAAGTGGACGTACAAGTGAAAAAGATGAAGCTCAAAATATCAAAAATCTATCAGCGCGACATCTGGGTTTGGCTGTTGGGTTCATTGAAAGAAACCAGGTGTGTATAGGAAAGTCAGAATCGTCTGTTACCATATCTCAGTCAGACCGAGCTGCGTACTCCACATGATGAAGACTTGAAGCTATGAGACCCTAGATGAAGAGCTGCAGTGAAGCTCTGCAGGAACTTCACGAGCGCAGATATAAAGGTTTTGCTGGTAAACAGAAGTGGCAAGTCAAGAAAGGTTTCTCAAAGCGTCTCTGCAGAGCTCTGATGCTGTTTGCTATGGGAGAGATGACAACACGCCTGATAGAAAAGCCATTTGTGTCCTTTATCCACCATCCAACCGGGAATTCCAACTGAAAGGGAAGACAGCGACCTGTCGGCTGTCACATCCGATCGATGTTGCTCATTGCTGGGTTCCGCATGCTGCTGTTCTTATCAGACAGACAGAGAAAGTCTGAAAAATACTTTAAATCAAGATCATAAGCGATTTGTAGTTTACTGATGGATGGATGAGAAGGAAGATGCAAACACACAAAGTTTAATTACTGTAGCACTTCAGTAATGAAGTTCCACTGCTGGAGGAGGCTCTCAGTGTGGCACCGGAGACCAGCAGCACGACAGCGAAGACAGATTTATGAACGCTGCCCTTAATTTAGCTTGCGTGCCGTGTACAGTAAATCACAGAGCTGATATATGCCAAAGGGGTTTTTACTATAATTAATCAAGTAATTTATTAACAAGTAAACAAGAATACGGGAGTGAAAAATAATCAGTAAGTGTAGGAGAGCGTGTTTAGGTGTTGTCTGATAAGCATCTGTTTTATACTCTGTGTGTGCAGCCAGCATACAGCGAGCAGATAACAAAATATCACATTATTTTTCCCCTAATGTCTGATGCAAACACAATAAGAGAAATGTGAAATTGGTGCATTAAGTAGAAGAGTGGATGTTGAGGTGAATACGCTGTCACATATCGTTACTTTAAAATTCTGTTGCCTGAGAATCGTCACATCTTAACATGAAACTAAACCAATGATAGTCGTCTGTACACAAACAGGCACATTGTAAACAGGATGTGCTAATCGCTAATTCTGCAGCTTTCAAGTTGAAACACACAAAATAACTTAATGTATTCACAGGAACATAATTCTCGACATGATCCATTGAAACTGAAGTTTCAAAACAAGCATGATTATCTACCTAGTGTCAGACTTTAACGTCCCTGTTATGTATTTTAAGAGTAAGTATTCAGTAATACTTCACTTTCTCTTAAAAGAAAATTGTTTTCTTCAGAGTACAGGAAATTGTTTTCTACCAAACCCATTGTAATTTTCTTTTATTCTTCTCCTGTCATCTGCTGATTCCCCGCAGCCCAACTCACAAACTCCCTTTTTCGAATCTGTCTTGTGTCCAGATTTCCCTCTGTCTTTCTCTTCTCCGTCACTTTCTCTTTTCCATCTTGTCTCCAAGGATTCCTGTCTCTTTTCCTCTTGCCTCTGCTCTGCTGCCTTCACCCTCTTTGTCTCCTCAGACGTCTCCTTTCATTGTCAGGATTTCAACGTCTTACTTCACCATCCAATTTTATGTCCCCAAGGATTGTTCCCTCTGGCTAAAGATATGGTGACTGATAATCCAGCTCATAAAATGATACATTAACTTTGCCTCTGGACGGTGGCTATGGGGGAGGAAGCACTGTTGTAGATTACATCGATGAGATTGTTTTTAATCCTGCTAGAGTTCTGGTGTAGGAAGTCTTAAGTCTCACATAATTAGCTTCAGAGGGGAAACTGGGGGGAAATGTGTGCAGGGCTTTGGTCTCCAACACTTTCACTGTGATTTTTTACAAAGCTTAGATAACATGAAGGTTTTTTATTTCTTTGATAAATTAGTGATTCGAAATATAAGTATTTTACAAAGACAAGATTTATGTCTATAGACCAAATCTGAAGTACAAATCTTGGGTGTCATCCTGGAATCTGAATTAGGTTTAGGAAACATAGAGAGTCAGATTCTACCTTCGCTCTGAGTGCTACGAATCGGATCTTCCATATTGTCCCACCTACGTTACTATAATCTATTCTACTGGCTGACCCAAAAAAGCCAGTAACACTGAGGATGGATTATTTGTTTTTAAAGCCTGATTAGATTTTCTATCAGATTATGTCCCTGTCTGCTCACTGAGGTGACTGAGTGCTGACTTGATGAACGTGTCGCACTCAAACTGCAAAAAATAAACAGTGAAGCTGCAGAAGATTTGGAACCAAATTAGAAATGCATTCTCTGCTGTTTTAAAAACTGCTCAAAACTTATTTTTATGATCTAGCTGTTAAGTTAATGAACATGTCTCTTCTTTTATTGCATTGTAAACCTTGCTTTAACCTTTTTTTCATTATTGTTTTGTTTTGACATCTTTTACTGTCATGGATAAAGTTTATCATTATTATTACATTTCAGTCTGTTGACCAGATTTTACAATTTCCCGTCTTCTGTATTTTCCAGCTGTTCAGGAGTAAAGCGATGGAGCTGGGAGAGAAGCTGCTGCCTGCCTTCAACACGCCGACAGGAATCCCCAGAGGAGTCATCAACCTGGGGAGGTGAGTCTCAGCACCGACCCTCACCTCCAAATGTCCACCTCTGATAAAAGATGGCCGGGTGGCATTTTAAGGACACACAAAGTTTTTTCTTGGCAACTGCACAGCGTGGTGGATAGAGCCAAGTTTAATGGACAAGTCGTCATCAAGGAGGAAAAAACGCTGTTATAGTAAAGCCATTAAAGTAAAGTTATGATCAACAACACACAGTTTCAGTGTTCAGTTACATCCGCGCCGTACAGCTCTGCATATAAAAATAAACGTTTTGAAGAAGCCTCAAGAAGAAAACTAGATTCAAATCGGTAATTACCAAACAAAATCTCAGCTCCACATAAATTTGCAGAAATGACAGCAACAAAGGAAGAGAATTTAAAAACTATTCAAACAGGCCCTGAACTCTGTGTATTGATAACGGAGCATCTGCAGGCCAGGCTTTATAATGACGATGACATTTGGATTAGAATTAATCTGCTCATAAACACTTTGGAGGATCATATGAATAATATTTGCATGTTTTAAATGAGTTGTGTTAATTTTTAATCCGTTCCAAACAATTTACTTTTTAATCTAAAAATCTTTATTGACAAAATCTTGTTAATGCCACAGTCATGCCACACAACTGCGAGCGCTTTTAATTTCCAGAGCGATTTGACCGTGAATTTCAAGTTCTTTATTTAGATTTGGCTTTAACCCTCATTAAGGCGGAGCGTGGATAACAAACGTGCTTCTCGTTTTTTGATTTAACAGTTTTAAAGAGAGACTCATATAAGGGTTGAAAAGATTACAGGAAAAATATCTGACGAATGCTGATAACAGCGGCGTCAGTGACTGTGACAGACAAATTATCATCGCTAGCCTTCGTACAAATAGACTGACGTAACGTCTGTTTGGCTTTATCAATACGCAGCACGATGCGTGAAGCTGTGACGGAGGAAGAACTCAAACATTTTACTCCAGTAAAAATACAAATAATGACACAAATATTTGCTCAAGTACAGCATTACATTTTCTACTAAGTAATTACACACTTTCTTTTAAAAATACTGAAAGTATTAACAATAAAAGGACTTGTTGAATGAAGCCTCTTCTGTAATGCAACATTGTTCAGCAGAATTGTGGCTGAGTCTCGTCTTGGCCTCTTCTAAATCCATTTTAATGGGTTTATTCACCAGTGATGTGGTGGATCTAGGATTTTTCTAAATCGGGGGCTATAAAGGGTGAAATGTACTTTGATACTTTCCACCACTGGCATAAAGAACAGAATAAGAAAGTATGATAAAGTATCATGTGAGACAAAGACAAACTCACGCACCCATGTTTGATTGTTGGACTTTATTTACGTTCTTCTCGTAAATTATTCAGGAAACCTGCATCTTCCTCTCACTCCCTAATCTTATAAGCTACTTCCTGGCACCACTGTCGTCCACCTGCTACCAATTAACCCACCCGGAAAAGTGGACAGCTGCTGGCAGATTTAATTACCTTATTCTACAGTTAATTCCTGCTACATCACCAACATGGGCCTGTGGTACAGATGGGCAGGAGGAACCATGCTGCCCACAGTGTGGTCACATGGAGTGACACAAACAAGCTTCATCTGCACCACACACACACACACACACACACACACAAGTACACAAGTCACTTTTGAGAAGATCATAATTATGCAATGGCAGCAGAACACAAGCAGTCAGCGAACACTGTGCACACAGGGGAGTAGAGTTCTGCTGCACAGCCTGTGGCTCCGACAAAGTGTTGGAAGTCTTTTCTCACAAAGCAAAAGTGATGTTATGAGTCATTTCCTGTATGTCATGTGTTATTGTGTGATATCGACAGATACACATTAACTGCATGGTTCTGGTTGTATGATGCATCAAAAGATACGGTGGTGAAGGGTCAGATGTTACTGAACACCAGGGGACGTATTCACCAAGCTTCCTGGAATAAAGAGCAGCTCCCAGTGAACAAATAACAAGAACAATGGTGATGTATTGTCCTCTTTGTTCAGTTAAAGAGCATCAAAGCATCTCAACCGTTCTCAGAGCTTCTGAGGTGAAAACTTTTCTGGGGAGGAAGGAGAATTTTTAGGATGCTTAAGAGTTTCTTCAGAAGAGGAGAAAATGGCATCACCACGTTATTGAAGAAACGTTTGAAGCAGTTTTAATCAACAGATGCAACACGAAATACTTACATACCCACCAACCCGGCTGAACACTGGCAGGCAATCACAGAATACATTAATATCAAATACATTAATAAATACATTTTCCAACATGTTAAATAAATTAAAATAGTAAAGAATAAATGAGTAAAGAATTCTTGGTGGAAGTTTTTTCAATAAAATAATAAGTTGAGTAACTCATAGTGAAAAATAATTATTAGCCCCACCCAAATAAATTTTTCCTATAGCTGATCGTTGTTTATAGAAGTATTACTGTGTTAAATTACATATGTTGAGAGATCATTCATGAAATTTATGAAATCTGTCATCGTACCGTCAACGTCACAGATCATCAAGTCATCTAGCTCCTCTATTAAAATGCACAAACACCAATTTCCATCTACACAGTAAGCGTGACCTGTGATATTGATTTTTTTTTCTGTATCATTTTCTGCACGTGATTATTTTTCGGATAGCAGTGGATGAGCATGAGTGTGTTTGTTAAATGGGGTGAAATGATTCCTGAACGAGTGCCAGTGTTGATGCTCCCCAGGCGGCAGTGATGTGGATACTCCCCCACCGCGATGCCCCTTCCCTGATTCTCAGATTGATTCTTCTTGAAGGAGGAATCAGATGTGACTGCAACCAGAGCTGCTAATGATGTAGCCCTCAAACTTTAAATGGATGCATTCACTGAGCTAAACTCTCTGATTCCCCTCCACCTTCACAAACCCCACCTCGCCTCTTCCTCCTCTTACAAATTTACTTCAAATCATTATTGGATGTCTGATCTTCCCCAGCATCTATTAGAGTATATGCGAAGTCACTCTAGTACTTTCTGGCTCTACTAATCATGGCCGAGGGTGAGTGCACCACACATTTCCTGAGTTTCGATTTTTCACAGAGTGATATCACCCACACCGACCTGAAGAAATCAAACTGAAGGGTGCACTTCATGTCTGTAGTTTCCAGGTCACCCTTCGAGCCGTTGATATGATACACAGAGCTTGGCTGCACTACTGTCAGGTTTCAGGTTTAATTTAACATCAAGCATCAATCATGACAGGCAGCAGTGAATTCATTAGACAGACAGAAATCTAATTTACCTTACATATTTGAACTAATGTCAAAACATCTGCACACAAAACTTATTTGCAAGTGTCCCATGTATTATCTAAGCTTTCACCCAGTTTGTGTCTTGGAGAGATGGTGTAAAAAAAAAAAAAAAGTACAAACACTTGGTTTTTGTTTTGCATATTATCTCTGTTTGTGGCAGACAAATTCAACTGCTGGGGATAAAACTGATCTATAATTAATCAACAAACCTTAAACACAAAACACATGGTCTCTGTACTTTGTTTTTCTAATTTAGTTTTTTTATTATAACCTTGGCTCTTCATCAGTATTCGAGCTGAACTTCTTTGAATGTCATTAAACTCATGCAGTGTTTGATAGTGCTGCAACTTATTTTCATTATCATTTAATCTGCCAATTATTTTCTCAATTAATTGTTTGAATTATAACAGGTTTATTTTTATTTAAGTAGGCCACAGCTTACACTCAAGAGAGACAACTGATAACCTCAACATTTTGAATATGATGCTGTGGGGGATAGAAAGACGATGTTATGTTGTGGGCGAAGAAATTCAGCTCTGTTTTTGACATTTTGGCAATTTAGCACCACTGAGAATGTGCTGGAGCCGCTCCTCCCAGTAGTAGAACATTTTTCTGTGATTTCTTAGCACATTTTTGGATGTGACATTATGTTATCCTTGGAAAATGTAGTTCTCAGTAACTCGATAACAGAGTTATGACAGAAGGGTAAAAAAGTGCCATATTTCTGAAGACTTTCAGCCCAAATCTCCAAAATTGATGCATTCAGAGCTCCATTTGTCTGATTAACAGTCAAACTTGTAAAAGATATTTGATAATAAATCACATTTGACAAAGAAAGAAAGAAATCTTTGTGTACGCTGTTGTTTCTGTTTAGGTGATACATGGTCCATTTCTTTGAGATTCATTTCACTGCTGACTGAAATGACATGATGATAGCTCAAAGTTTAAATAGATCCATATATTTTGTACGAATGCGCTAAATGTATTGTAGAGACCACTGGAGACAAACAGGAGAAGGTTATTGATTTCCATGGAAAAAGGAAATAAAAAGCAAAACCCAAGTGTGTCTGCTATGATGCAGAATTTGAGTTGAGAGGTCCATCGGGCACTGAGTCGGTTACTTTCTTCAACTTTCTGTAGCTGCAGCATGTTCTTAATGTGGTGTTCAGTGGAATAACTGAGGGAGAATCAGTTATGACAGACAGTGGAAGAGGTATTGCTCTATTGTCTGGAGGGTACAAGTAATGCTGCAGATAGAACAGGATCATGTGAAGCCATTGGCTGTAAACCTTTAAATACACGAGAACTTTGTGTCAAAACAGGATGAAATTCAGAAGATTTAGCTGCACTGAGAAGAAGATTTCAAATCCATTGACTGAAAAGCATCAACTCAAATATTTAAGAAAGAATTTCCTTATTTTTCTTACAAGCTGCAGTTGTGAATAATTTATCTCAAGCCCAAAACTTTATCCAAAACCAGAATCAAACTTTGGTCCTGACAGTGGGTCTGACTGTCTAACTCTGTTTTGTACCTGTGTTATGCTTCTATATGTGACACCTGTGGTACTTAGTCTACCTGTGGATGTTGTTTCTGCTGTAGTGGAACCAGTTGGAGTTGGGGCTGGGCCTCAGCCGGGAGCAGCATCCTGGCTGAGTTCGGGACTCTCCACCTGGAATTCGTCCATCTGACTGAGCTCTCCAACAATCCCATCTACACAGAGAAGGTTTGTGTTTGCGGTTTTTCTCCTCCTTGGTATTATTTAGTATTATATTATAACCTCTTTCAGCCTTGTTGCGGTGATGTTCATTTGAACTGTGATGTCTCTGTAGGTGATGAACATCAGGAAACTTCTGAACAAGATTGAAAAACCTCACGGCCTGTATCCCAACTTCCTCAGTCCAGTCAGCGGCAACTGGGTCCAACGTAGGTGTTGTAATTACCGAACACCAGTACTCGTTTAACATATGTGAAATTAGTTTCAGGTGTTATAGAGACAGGTCTGTAATAAGGATAAGGTCATGGGCTCACATTATTTAAAAGATAACATACACTCTAATGACACTGTAAGATCATTCATGTTACCTAAAGGTTTTTCTTCCCTGGGGTCAAAGTTCGAGTTCACTCAGTGTCATTTTACATTTATTCCTTTTCTTCGGCTTCCACATAACCAATATACCTTAATTCACCTCATGTGCCAAAGCTCTTCTAGCTGCTCATGTGTCAACCATCCATTTCCTTTCATTTTTAATATCAGTTTCATAGCAATGCCTATATGACTCCCATTGCTCTGGGTTATTAAAATGATAATGAATTCAATTACTTCAGGAAATTGGATCTTTCAGATTTACCTGAAAGGAGGTAAAAAAGTGGGGAAAACATGATGCTTGGACTGAAAAGGGTTCATAATCTGGATGATTACAGAGACCACTTGTTTGTGAGTGAACTATATATTTATTTGCACAAAGGGAAAATAATCTTTGGCGGCAGAGCTCTCCCTCATCTGTCTGTGTCAAGGACAAACACAGCAGCGCTGCATGTGATAACCTTGCAGGGCAGTCAACAAAGCAAAGGTGTGCGTGAGCGTGAGTGGATATATGAACACTCACGAACGCCTCCAGTGCAATATCATATCAATCTTTATGAATTTGCATGTGTACTACTCACAAGCGGACTGGAGGAAAATCAACAGCCACTCATTTCAATTTCCACTCACAAGATTAAAGTGTGTTACATAATTTAAGTTTTAAAGAGAGCTGACAACATTTAGACAACAAGAGTGGAGCTGCATGTTTTAAATGTTCTATTTATCTCTTACTAATGATGATTTTATACTTATTAGCCAATTATTAAATATTTTTTTAGTTGTTATCATGATATTTTTCATTTTTATATCTTTAAGAGGCTCTTGGGGGTCTTCAAAGCCGCCCATAAATAAAATGTATTATAATTTTTATTACCTGATACCCTCACTAAGGACTTGTGTGTTACTCAGCTGATTGCTCTCCTTTTCCCCCCATAGATCATGTTTCCATCGGTGGTCTCGGGGATAGCTTCTACGAGTACCTGATCAAATCATATCTGATGTCAGACAAGACAGATGATGATGCAAAGAAGATGTACTATGGAGCACTGGAGGTATGGAAAATGTAATCTTACTTTGAAGGCATAGCACGACTCTGCAGAACTCGGTCAGATAAAATAAATCTAATCTCAGTAATGTGCATAAGCTTCGATGAAAAAGTATCCAAAGTGCTTGACACTGAGGACAAGTAAATGACAAGTGATATACACAATCACGAGAGGACACGAGGACTAAGTTTTAGTTGACAGAAAAGTTGAAAGCTGATGAAAGGACCCAACATCTGAAGCTCTTATCAGACATCGTACCTGTAACATTTCCTGTTTATTCCTCATGCTGTTCTACAGACACGACAGTACCGTGGTGAAAAGAGACAAAATACAATTGCAATATTTTGTGCAAAAGAGTTAAAAAAGTAAAATTAGTTTACCATTAAAAACCTTATTTATTGTACAAAACACTTTGTGTGCACTTGTTCTTCTGTAGCGTGAATGTTAATCGAAGGAAGAGGTTCCTGGTACTGTTCAATGTGATTATAGAGCTTTGATTAGACATAGATACATATATTCATGTACCGTTATGTAAAATGTTAGCGCCCCCACTGTCCACAGAAAAAGGTCTGAACATGAACTTGGTGTACGGTATATACACATGCGTAAAAATACATCAGAAGCCATCTGTTTTTCTCTTTAATGGAGTTAATGTCGGAGTAAAACTCATTCCCTCCGGCTACAATTACAATATTGCAGACGATAATTTAAGATTGCCATTGAGATTTCCTCCATTCTCATCAGAGGGTCAAGCCAGAGGCAGATCTATTAATTATAGACTCCCCTTCTCCCCTGTGACTTGGTATTTAAATGGCCCAGGACCCCCATGCTATCAGATTAAGTTATATTCTGTATGTTTGCACAGAGATCTGAGGTGAAGCCGCAGCGCAACTCGTTATCTTTGGCATTCAAACAAAAGTAGATTACTAATTAAAACACAGTGTTGAGTGAGAGAATATTTTCCAGTTATACTGTTGAATAATTACTGCAAACAACAGCTAATTAGCAGGAAAATCACCAGTCAGCCCTCAGGAAAAACGTTTTCTTCTGAGAACATGGGATTTATATCCTTTCACATTATAAACATTACTTTCTTTTGTCAGCCATTATTCCAGGTTGCGTCTTTATCAACTCTTACTGACCTGAAAATAAAGTGGGATTTTACACTTTATTTTCAGCACTTTGCGGTGTGATGCGGCGGAATATCACAGACCAGCTTTCAAACGCAAAACGAGCCACAGCCAGACCGAATGTGCGACAAGCTCATGAGAGAAAGACGAGGACTGTAAAAGATAGGAAATTGCTGAGTCATTCCGAGATGATCTCAGGAGATGCCCTTCTCTATTCTGTCTCATGAAACGTAAAACACTGAGAACAAACAGCTACACAGAGAGGAAACCCTACATTTGAAGACTTGTTGAAAAAAATGAAGTTGAGACTTTAACAAAGAAATCTCTCCTTCATTTCCTCTTCCACCAGTCGTTCTCTTTCACTCACTTATTAAAGAAGGTATTTTTTTCAACCTGGGACGTCTTAACTTTCCAACTCCATCGTAGAGAATCTGGGAAATGCCACTTCAGCAAAACAAATTATATCTGGGGCAGGAGAAGCCTTCTTAACATAAATCACGTCAATCACTTGTCTCCATGGCAACCTGACAGAAAAAGAAAATAGCCAAGAGTGAAATGTTGTCATGAGTCAGTAATCATCAAATTCTTCCTGTGTGTGTGTGTGATGCAGGCGATTGAAGCTAACCTGGTACAGAAGTCAACCGGTGGCCTCACCTACATGGCTGAGTGGAGAGGTGGGATCCTGGATCACAAGATGGGCCACCTGGCCTGCTTTTCCGGGGGAATGATCGGCATCGGAGCTGATGATGGAGCTCCGGACAAGAGGCAACACTACCTGGACCTGGCTGCAGAGATCACGCACACGTGTCACGAGAGCTACACACGCTCAGGTGAGTGCAGACGGCAGGGAGGTTGAGGACGGGCACTTGGAGTTTGAGGAGACTTTCTGTCTAAGTCTCAGTGGAGAGCTTCGGTTCAGGAGGCTCACAGTTTTACAGTTGATTACTAATGTCAGCACCAACCTTGAGGAGCGGTCCTGGGTTCACGTCTATAGGATTCATCATCCAGGAACTGTGAAAGTCAAACCTGGTGTCAGTGTGTCCTGTAGCTGTTGTAGTAGATGGTGGACTGACTGACTGACTGACTGAGGAGCCAGCATGGCTCAAACTTAGAATTGTTCTTAAATTGGTCTCAACGCAGAGACAACCTAATAGGGTGTCTAATAACCAGACCTAATAAGCGGCAGCGATGAATTAAACGTATTATTCTTGATTATTCTTTAACGTCTCACAGCTGTAAGCAGCGGACGAGGACGTGCCTCTAACTGTGTTAAATAGTTGCAGGTTGTTGTAATTTAGGAGAAAGAATGAAATAGGAGATAGAGGATGGAAGAACAAAGGTTGTGATAAAAATTTATTCCCTAGGAAAATTTATTGTGGCTCCAACCTATAAAGAGTCTAAGGGAGAGTCTAAGGCCGTGTTTCACTCCCAGACTGAAGATTTATCCAGAAGAAAAATGTGGGTGAACAAAGGGGGGGGGAATACATGAGCAAACCTACCTGCAATTTAGATCTCGTCTTCCATCTGCTCATCTTCAGTATCGTCCTGCACAATCAGATCTGTATGAAGGTCGCTGAGGTCATTGTCTGGAAATAAGTGTTTTAACCTTGCAGCAGCGAATTAACATTTTCAAATAAACCATGTCGGACGTGGGAGGCTTCGGCAGCATGACTTTAGATTCCATCTGTACAGGAATCACTCTCCTCAACCTTGACCAATTACTCGTTTGAAAGCTGCAGGTCCTGATTCTATCTGTGCAAAGCATGTTAGTGCTACAGCTGTTCACAGAGTTGGTCCAGAGTTATGGCTGCAGTGTTTACTGCAAATACAGGACATATATACGTTTTTCTGATTCTAAAATTTAAATTATTGCATTTCAAGAGAAAACCGGGTTATGACTGTAGACAATGATCAACTGTAACCTTTTTATTTCAGGTATATTATAATGGCTTGTGCACAAAGATGGGGGTGTCTGTTCTCTCTAAAAGGATAAATAATACTACTGATGTTTCTAAATATAAGATGCTGATGTGCTGATGCTCTTGTCCTGACCCTGACAAGAATAGATTACTTTGTACTGAGTCATGAATAGGATCTCTTTGTCACGCAGTCTTGAATTGCTGTTGAAAAAATACAATAGAAGTAAAGAGAAAGAAAAACAGAATATGAAAAGCCTGAAGACCATCTGGACAGCTGGAGACATCTTAATTGTTGAACTACAAATGGCTTCTGAACACTGATGTTCTGTTGCTTCTGCTTTGAAGGTTTGCAGATCTGTGAAGTGCAGATTGTCTGCTGGCTGAGACAGACTGATATTTTTGTCTTCTTGTCTTCCTCCTCCTGTCTTCTGTCAGCCACCAAACTGGGACCTGAGGCGTTCAGATTCGACGCCGGCGCTGAAGCTACAGCAACAAGGCTGAGTGACAGATACTACATCCTGAGACCTGAAGTCATCGAGAGCTACATGTACATGTGGAGACTCACACACGACCCCAAGTACAGAGACTGGGGATGGGAGGCCGTTGAGGTGAGATACAAAATAATGGATTAAAATTTCCCTCATTGGCCTGAATATTAGAAGAAGTGTATTAAACTTTAAAACATACTAGGTTTAGGAAAGTTTCCCTAAGACACTATTAGTACATTGCTATACTACTAAGTATATTACTCTTAGTTTCTGAAGTCTTTTCTCTTCAGAAGAGGTTTGAAACTGTGGGACTATTTAAGTCAGGACTATTTCTTGCCTCTAAACGAAGTCACAGTTTTATTCATAAAGCCCAAATCCCACATTTGCCTCAGGCAGGGTTACAATATGTTCACTACAGGAAAAAACACAGAAACATAGTAAAGTTACATTATATACAATCTATATGAGTAACATATAAACAGACTGTAAACATGTAAGAATTAGATTTTGCCAAAAAAGCCCATAAAGGTATTTTGATGTTATATTTAAGTGGCCGTATGTTTTTGTATCATATGATTCTGTCTAAGTGAGTCTGAGTTTATAAATTGTACTCACCTTCCATGTCAAGCTCTTTTAACGACCTCAATTACCCTCAACCAGCTTCCTTGATACTTCCTGGTGCTATACATTAGCCTGTAGATAAAGCAACCCCTTCATCAGGAGGTGAAGGTTACACAGGGAGCGCAGTTATTAATGTGCCAATAGACAGGACATTAGCTGCAGTAAACTGCAGAGGACTAACATGATAGATTTAGCATTAATTTAGTGGAGGGATCAGGCTGACGAGTTTGACAGGCCTTTAATTATCTGGCACAAAGGTTGAAAGTGGTCACAACTCTTCTCTCCATGAACATCAGGCATTAACACGTCGGGGTCTTTGTTAATTAGAACGTATAAGCCAGCCCTTTGTAGCAGGGGTAATAATGTGCTAATCTGCTTGGCTAGCTCAGACTCTCTCCATTAGCTTTAGTCAGCTTTAGCATAGCTTGAGCTTCTATTGTGTTGCCAGCTGAGGGCTTGACACGCTCCATCGATTCCCTCAGCGAACATGAACTTGTCCAGATATAAAACATTTTTCAAGATGTGTACGCACATTTAAACTCTCCCTCTCTGTCCCCCGTCAGGCCCTGGAGGAGCACTGCAGAGTGGAGTCTGGCTTCTCCGGGATCCGAGACGTTTACACCATGACAGTCAGCCACGACAACATGCAGCAGAGCTTCTTCCTCTCAGAGACTCTCAAGTACGTCCTATTTCCTCCCCACGTCGCCCTCAAACGCAGAATGTGGCAAACAGCCTTTTACATTCTGCATCCACAAACAATCACAGATATGGAAAGTTATAGAGCGTCGAATCCTGAACGCTGAGGATTCGTACGTCAGTGCTCAGAAGTCGTTAGAGGTGATTTTCTTCTCTTCGCTTGTAAAAGCAACATGGCTGATGAAGAGATAGTGTTCGGTTTTTTTTGTTCCCCTCATTTTTGGGTCATTAAGCAACAAAACCGCTCAGGATGCTGCTTCATGTGAGCTGAGAGATGAGACAACTTTGAGAAGCAGACTGTGCTGCGGCTCTTAATGTGCATCCACTTAAAAACTTCAGTGGGTAATCATGACATAAGCATCTTTGCGTGCGAATAATTTAGTTGTTCTAGATGGGAGCGTTGTTGCGTGACGCTAATTCAGTCAATGGTAAGAAAACGATTCTCGTTCACTGGCTCATGTGCAGATACAGATTTGCAGCTGTTAGAGAGAAATAAGACGAGCTTACCTTCAGATCAGCCCTCGAAGAAAATATTACATTCATTTGTTGAAGAATGAATCTGACGAATTCTGTTGAGGAAACTAAAAATGTCAGCAACAGTATTTTGATAGAATCGTCTGGTTCACTGTTAATGTCAGTGAACAATACACAACATGCCCACAAGGTTATTCAGATCAGTGAATAGGTTTGCGATTTGTTCAGTCTGTCTGAAAATAATAGTCCAGTGTCACATTCACATTGAAACAGATTATTGGAATCACTCTCCGCCCCACAATCTTCCTTGTTTCGTGCAGGAATCTATTGAAAACCGTATTTAAAGCTGATTTCCACAGAAATAGGACTCTACGATGAAAACAAATGTGAGGATGCACCTGCTGTAGTTTACCACTGAAGTGAGTGAGCGGAGGAAGCTTCAATAAGTGAAGCAGCATCAGTTACACTTTGTCTTATGGTCGATTTTCCTAAAGTAAAACTGTAAAACAATTAAATATAATTAAAAAGTAAGTAGAAATCTGAAGTGAAGGTTCCAACGAGCTTTGATTTTGTTGAAGTGAAATGGATGTTGTTCATGTCCGTGCAGGTATCTGTACCTTCTCTTCTCTGACGACGACCTCCTCCCGCTGGAGGACTGGGTCTTCAACACAGAAGCTCACCCGCTGCCCATCATCCGCAAGAGCTGCCTGCAGGACGAGGCCACACAGGATAAGACGGTTTCCAACTAAGACTGAACACACAGACACACACACACACACACAGACACACACACACACACACACACACACACGCAAACACACACACGCACACACACCAAGTCAAAGCAGGTTCAGAGTATTTCAGGAGCGTGTTATGGACTCTTCAATTCCTTTCCAGTAAAGGATGTTGTCGTTTTACGCTGTGATTGTATATCCTTTCGCCGGGGTTACTTCCTGCTGGCACTTCTTTTTTGTGGACAATCAAGACAAACATGACTTTCATGAAAAGAGCACCTTTTTCTTTCCTTCTTTCCTCTGTGAGGAAACCAGTATAACTTCAGACCCAAATGTGTGGGAGGAGGGTTGAACCATGGGCCATATTGTTAGAAAGAGAGAGAAACGTATAGAAAACCACTTGAGTTTTGCTCTTTGATTTTGTTTCGTTAACCTTGAATGATGAATGACTCTCCTCGGATCTTGTCACGGCATTTTTTCCTTTGTGAGTTCCACTCTCTGACCAAAGGTTTCTTTGCATCTCCTTCCCATCTTTTCCAGTAAACGTGTTTTTGGTGAGATTTGACGGAACAAGGGTTGAAGTCTAATGATTATTAACTAATGTACAGACAAATATGAAATGTGATTCTGGAACCCACGTCCAAACTAATGTTGATGTCATGTTTCCTACTGAAACAAGCTTGAATGATGTTTTTTAAAGTGAGGAAAGTGTTCCGTGTCTTATGCATCCAGGGACCATATTTTAACAGATGATGTTGGCTTGTGTTCGGGAAGCGGGACAGTGCTGTCTCAGTCCTCTCAGCCTTTCAAATCAGAGACACGAATGGAGATCTGTCAGTTCTGTGACTGTGATACAAGCTCAATGGGAAAAGAAAGAATTTGCCAGTTTGCTCCGAATGGGTTTTCCTGTTTCTGTCGTAGTTTTTCTGCCTTTACATGTGAATCCATTGAGCTGCCAATACTGATTTAAAGGCTGTTAGACTGCAGAGACCGGTTTTCATTTTCACCACCATTCTTTTCATCACAGCTACAGAGCGAATGTGCTGTACATACAGATGAAGTGAGAGACCCCTGTATGAGCTTGTCTTGACTTTTCTTTGTGATCGTTTTCTTAATTTCTCTAAACTTCAGTGGTTATTTTTTCTGGGTTCTCTTTTGATTTGCTTCCCTCAGGTGTTTCAGTACAAAAAAAAAGGAAAAACATTTAAAAAGTTCTGATTTTAAGTCTAGTTAATGCTGATATTAATTATTGTTATGACTTATTCTTACTGTTTGTTTTAACTTTCATTGTTGAATATTTTCAAATACTGATAAAAATAACTGTGCAACTTTGTACATTTAAAACAATCCGGTGGTTCTGTCCTTTTTTTATTGGCTTTGTTTCTTTGTGTGTTGATCAAATTTAAAATCACCAACGTCTCAGTTGCTGTGATTTTTATTTTTACAGTTCATTTTCACTTTCTTAAATGTTGGGAGAAGGGAATTATGTTTTCGGGTGAACACAAAATCTCAAGAACAACTGAAGGGAATTTCTTCTGATTTGGTACAAATGTTCATTTAGACTCTCGGAAGATCTGGTTGGAATTTGATGGTCAAAGGTCATCAAGTGTTTTCTTGTGAACGCAACATCTCAGGGACATCTTGAACTTTCTTCAAATTTAGTACAAACATGCATTTGTGAATTCTCGAGGGTCTAAGATCAAGGTCGCCTCACAGAACATGTTCTTGGCCTCAAATCGTATCTGTATTTAGAGAAGTTCTTCACATTTTGACCATTTGTCATGAAGACTGAAAGTTCTCTGGTTGGTGGAGACATACAGCAGTGCAGTAAGTATTTAATTTTCTTACATTTTCCAGATATTATTAATGAATCTTGATGACATATGCGGAGGCCTGATATTTATGAGTTTTCTTAATTTGACTGGAAACAATCAGCTGTGACTGAGAGAACGAACTTGACTCATGTGCTGCTTACGTTTGTTTCAGTATTTTCCTCCAGGAAGTTCATTAATGGAGGAAGTCTCAGGGTTGTGGAAGTCACGACCAGGACTTATGGGTCGTTAAGTGTTGCACCTCTGACTGTGACAGGCCAACAAAGCAAGATTTAATATCACCCCCCCCAAAACGATTCAGCTTCACCTGCTGTCACCTGAATCCTAATTTCACTCTGATCGCTTCAAGTGGTTTTTCATTGGTTTTGAAATGGGTCAGCGTGCATTATTGACATTTAATACTAATTTGAAAAATGGTGCTCAAATGTCACAGATCTGGTGACATTAATCTCACTGACACCTCTGGAAAGAACCAATGCAAAGGCGTGTGAGAGTTTAAACAGCGAGTGTAAATCTTATCTGAGTTACAGCCGGCGTGAACATTAATCCCTTCAGCGATGGCACGATAATGAAAAGGGCAAAAGCGAAGGGCACAATTTGTACGTCTGAGATCGGCTGACAAAGCTCGGGGACGCAAGTGGGAGTATCACTGTCCATTTGAATGCACCAGAGACTGATGGTGGAGGACAAACACTGCAAATAATCTCCTCCCCTCTCTTTCTTTTTCCTTCGCTGCTCCTGAACTCTCTGGCAAGCTGAGCGGCCGAAGCAGGAACAGAAATGTCAGACCTCCTGCCGGCGGGCAACGAAGGAGCCGTCACAGTCGTCCTCCGGCTGCCTGGAGCAGTTTTACAGGGAATAACCGGCACGTCAGCGGAGATCTGCCTCAAATATGATTTGATTTCAAAACACTGTCAGCTCCACCTACTCACATTTTCAAGTCCCCGGTGATTTAAGACAAGAGGAGGAACAGAAACAGGATGTCCCGGTTTGAAGGAGACGATACAACAAAAGAAGGCTTTTACTTTTTCTGATTTACAACATATCTGAGATTGAAAAGAACAAACCATGATGCAATAATAATAAGATGCAGGACAAATCATGTTGTTTGCTTTACAGAGCTTGAACATGAACTTGAATCGTCTTCAGAGGTTAGAATTTAACTATTTCACTCCCATCTTTCCAGAAAATGTGTGTGCGTGTGTGTGTGTGTGTGTGTGGTTGACTTCTCCAGAATTTGGTCAGATTTGGTGCAATGTGATACTAATGTGAAATTAGTAAACGGAGACTAATCAGGAAACCAGCGCTCTGTTGTGTTTACGTTATCAGGCGACGCCGACTGATTCTCAAACAGCTCATTTCAAACCGGCGGGTTTAGAAGGGTGGATTTAATTTAAACAGCTTTCCACTTCAACCGGCAACTAAAAGTACACGTTAAATTATTTTTCTTAAACGTGGTTTCTGTCATTTTAGATATTTCTCATGTTTCTGGTTTTAATTTTTCATGTGATGCTGTAAAAACAGGTTGAAATGTCATGATTGACAGCTGAGACTGACTCACGACTGGGTGACTGTGGCTCCGCCCTCTGATCCTTGCGGTGGAGCACGACGACAGCTTTGGTATTCAGGATGTTCTGGTTTAATTTCAGGATAGTTGGAGGAAGCAGAGACACGTCCTCCGTCTGTATTGACAGTCTCTGCTCGAAACATTCTATAAAAAAACAATTTAAAACCCTTTTTAATTGAAAAAGCAACAATGACTCATTTCAGGATATTTAAAGCGTTAGAAATATTTCAGCTGCACATTTTCAGCCGCGAACAAACAAACACTTAAATTTTCCTCTGACGCACGAAGCACTTTGATGCGTCAGCTCTTCTCCTGACCTTCTGTTTGCTCTAATTAGACACCGCACTGAGAACAACCACGATACGACAACTGTACAGAGAGAATGTCAGACCAGAAATAGAGGAAATGAATACTGAAGGGAGCTCTGCTTTGTTTTTTTCGGTGACAGGTTCAGTCTCGTCATCCTCGATGCTGAACCCACCTCTGGATGAGAACTGATGTATTCTGGGAAAACTAGTGTCGTCTCACACAGCTCTCGAAAACAAACAAACCAACCAACACAGTTCACCTGTGATGTCACCGTCTGACACTCGAGCTTTGTTCAAACATCATTTAGAGACGTGGACATCTATCGTCTGCACACAGTGAAGTCGTGAATGTCTCAGAGTGAAACTTTCAATCCTCATCTCTGCTCCTTCTGTTCTGCCGCTCGTCTCAGGTTGTGTTGACACTGTCATTGTTTGTAAAACTGTTATTTTCTCTCAGGGCGGATGTGAAAGGATTTGGACTGAAGCTCTTCCCTCATTGTTCTCTGAAATCAAACATGAGGGACCTGACTCTAATTACACAGTGAACATATCTTCACAGATCATTTATCTGCTTTGAGCTTCGACCGGTGGAGATTTCAGGAAGTCAATGCACGTGGAAAGAATCCTGTAATCGGTGTGTGGACATTTTGCTGAAGAGATGTTTGTTTGTCCATTTGATCATCATCTTGTTATTTCCTGCACAGACAGAAGTTTAAACTCTCTCTCCCTCTCAGCACCTTGTAGTTTTACGATGAAATCTCTAACGACACTGAGCCGCAGATTCAGAGAGAAAGATGAATTTGTTTCCAACAGTGAATTAAAATACGGTTGTTTTCTGTTCAGGGACTCATTCATGAACTCTGGTTGTTTTTCTGGAGTGTGTTTTCAGGGAAGCAGCAGCCGGAGGCAGCTTGCTTTGGGACAAACTCAAATACTTTGGTTGGATTCAGGTTGAAAAGCAGCTTTTTCAGTCACTGTTTCCTCTAAACATCTTTGACTTTGAAAAGTTTGAAAACTCAAGTGAATCACAGCGAGCGAGTTTTAATATTTGTTATCAGCAACATGGAAACTCCTGCTGCTTTGTCCCGTCTCCAATTTTAGGATTAATAAAACTTTAATGTGATAATTAACTCAACTCTGATTTGGGGAAATGGAACTGTTTTGTCCGGCCATGCTGTCATTTAATATTCATATTCAATTATACATTCTAATTACAACTAACTAACTAATAGTCTTTCCAGTCATGGATCTCAGTGGTCGACATTTTATCAAGTTTTAACATAAATTCTGAGAAAGTAATTGAGCTAGCGAGTTTTTACTGAGTGTGTTTGTCTGTAAAGAATCCACGAGTGTGTGTAGAGTTTATTTCTGCACATATATTTAGCTGTGTGTGTGTGTGTGTGTGTGTGTTAGAAGATCCTGAGCACTGCAGACACTCATCTGCTGCCTTGACACCTTGTCAGTGCCTGGATAGGAACACAACTGTATAATCATCTGCTAATGCTTCTGAAAAATAACTCAGCGGCTCAGGGGTCGGACGTAGGAGGATTCAGAATCCCAGCGACTCATGAGCACGTCACACTGAAGTGTTTAGTTGTTATGAGCAGGCAGGTTTCTAACAAGATGGAGCTGCAGTGAAAATCCAGCACTTGTTAATATATTTATCCAAAACATCAGATATCAACCTCGTGTTGACAGAAGAGGAAAAGTCAGGGGACGACTAAAGTCTTTACGATTCATCACAGAGAAACAAGAAAGGCTTTTACGAGATGTTATTTCTGATCCTTCTTGACGCTGAGAATCACACAGAAGAGTGTGCAACAATTCCAGGAAGGAAAAAAAAGAAAAAGAAATCAAATGAAGGTGAAATTCTCTCCATCATAAATATCTGAGCAACAGTAACAGTCACAACAACATTTGCTTTTATTGTCTGAATCATCTCTGAGCCTCAGTGGATGAGTTCAGTGACGAACACTAACTGACGTCGAGTGGAACAGCTCATGAACTGCAGCTGCAGATAATCATCGTCCATAATCATCTCTCCCCGGGAGATTCACTGTGGATCCTGTGGGATGTTTGGTTTTCAAATGTTCGACCCTCCCACTCAAACAGGTCAGCAAGCAAACGAGATGAGTCCTGAGTGTTGATGAGCAGCACGAAGAGCGTCACACAGCTGGAGAAGGTTCCAACTAAAATCGAATGGAGGTTAAACTGCTTCAGGAAAAAAAAGAAACACATCGGAGGACAATATGTTTCTCACTCCACATTTTAATGGATGAAGGTGTTTTAGTTTGAACTCTCACAACTCGTTTGAAACCATTTCCTGTAATATTCTACCTCCTGTGCAGGGAGAAGGTTTTAATGTTCATGAGTGAATCCAAATGAAAGCTAATGCTAATTGTGATAGTTTTACTCTCCGTCATAAATAGTCTCTGTCAGCACAGACAAGCGTCTGTGACTCAGTGCTGGCTGCTCTGTGCTCAGATTTACAGCCGAGGAAATACCAGAGTCGCACTTTTCTGATAGAGTCGATGAAATATTGAGAAGTTTTTCACGGAAGTTTATTATCTAACTCATGATGAATGTTCCGCTGCTTTTATTGTGGCCAATCAT